CCCCGGGGCGCAAATCATGAAGAGAACGCCAGGTACCCCCCCCCCCCTCTACCCTGGCAGAGCCACTCCGCCGACCTCCCCCAAGCTGAGCTGAAGCTCTTGCTCAGGCTCGGAGCTGAAGCTCTTGCTGCGGCTCCTTGTAGCTCACACGCTGGATCGGCGGATTGCTTTGTGTGTGTCTTTGGGCCCCTTCATCCGGGGCGCACGTGAGCGGGGTCGGCGCTGACGGGCGCTCGTCCAGCCCCACCCGATCCCTATGGCTGACCCCGGTTTGGCCAGGGCGGGAGAACCACCCAGACCCGACCTTTGGCGTTTTCTGCACGGCCCTGGGCGGTTCCGGCGCAGCCCTGCGCCCCGTTCGATGCCTTCTTTGGGTACGCTTGCTGAACGGCTCCGCGTGCCGGGGTGCCTGTTGCGAGGGTGGATTCTCCGCTCTCTGGCCCGGGAGCCACGTGGGACCGACGCCGACCTCGCCCCCTCCCCCCCGTGCTTCCGCTGGCACGGGTTCCGGGAGCTGCCGCGCGGCCGGCGGAGTTCGCCTTTGTGGCCTTGAGTCGGGCCTGTCCCTCCACAGGAGGACTATTCAAGAATTGTCACAAAATACTCTTGGGGCGATGTCTTGACCATTTTGGAAAATTTTAGGATATGTTTGTTGACTATTTTTTATGTTTCGTCCAAAATCCCCCTGTAGGGGGACAGGCCAGACTTAAACGTGGCCGTGGGGCCGACCCCGAGGGGAGCGCCGGCCCCGGCTGGGAGTCCCCGACCGCCTCCCCTGGCGTACTGTCAGTTCGTGTCGTGTCGACCAGCGTCGGAGGGAGGAGGAGCGATGCCAACACCACCAGGGGGCCCACGTCCAGCGAGGAGGTCCAGGACGCCTCCCCGAGCTGGATGCTGGGGATGTCTCGAGCGAGAGGGGGGCACCACACCACCAGGGAGACCCCCCTTGCCTCCTCGCACCTCCTCGCCCCGCTGGTGCTGGTGTCGCCTCTCCTTGTTCCCATAGCGGCGACCCCGCCAGCGGCGTTCCATTGTTAACGCCGCGGACGACCCAGAATCGTTCACAGTGGAACGATGTGGACACGTCGGAAACGGCCGATCGTTGAAGGTTCAACGATCCCCGCGGTGTCGGAAATCAACGCCGAAGTCGGCACGACACGAACCTGACGTACAGTGGAGGTCCATGCCAAGAAGCACCCTGCTCGCCTCCAGGGTGCCCTTGGTTTCTTGGGCTTCGATGGTTTTGCGATGGAAGGCGTGACGCTCCAACACCAAAAATCAATGGACGTCCTGGGGTTTCAGGTTTGGGTTTCTGTGGAAGTTGTCTTGTGGTCCAGGCCCTATTGTATTTGTCCGCATGTTGCACCCAGATCTGTTGAAGGCCATTCGATATCGCGGATGGCGTGACCCAGATGCCATTGTTTCCCTTCAGTCATGTTGTAGGCTTTTGCCGTCAACGCTGTTTGGAAGATGTTGCGCCCCAGACGCACAAGTATGACTTGTTTGCGAGGTGGTTGTTGTCTTATTCTCTCTCTCAACTTCCTTTTTGCGATGCTCTCTCTCTCCCTCTGCGCTCCTTCCCTCGCTCCCCTGCCCACCCCCCGTCCTCTTGTGTTCCCGCCTCCTCGCCTTCCCGCTCCCCACCTGGCCCCTCGATTCGGGGGGGGGGAAGTGAGGAGGGGCGGGCCTTCTCAGAAGGTTGGGAAGCCCCACCTGGCCTTCTGAGAAGGTCTCCGCGCCAGTAGGAGGAGGATCAGCGGCGAGGCCAGGGGGGAAGTGAGAACTAGCGGGCCTTGTCAGCAGGTTCGGAAGCCCCCTCTGACTTTCTGAGAGGTTCTCTACGCCTTAGCCTTCCCCGAAGACACACAGAACCTCGCACAACCTCTCGGAAGGCCAGCGCCACTCCGAGAAGCTCCTCCGCTGTCTGGGAAGGCCTTCTTCTTTTCACTTCCCCCCGTCGCTCGTCGCCGAGAGGAGGAGGGAGGTGGAGGAGGAGGAGGAGGACGACGAGGACGACGACGACGACGACGATTGACGACGATGACGACGACGACGACGACGATTGACGACGATGACGACTACGACCACGGCTGGCGCTGGCGGTGGCGACAAGGGGGGGGAGATCCCCGAAGGTCTCCCCGCAGGCCCGGAGGCCCAGAAGCAGGCCAGGACCTCCAGAAGCGCCCAGGAGTACGTCGGGCACGTCCTCCTACAGGAGAAGGATCATCAAAAATCAAACAGACAGTCTGGGCACGTGCTTCTGTTATGTCCTTGATGTGTTTGATCATTTGTTCGGCTGTTTGTCATGTTTCTTCCAACACCTGTAGGAGGACATGCCCGCCCTAAGCCCAGGACGAGGAGGACAACCGCGAGGACGAGGACGAGCCGAACCTGGGGCGAGGGGCTCTCCACCGAGACACACCGGCCACTCGTGCGCACCGCGTGCGAGCAGGACAGACACACTGCAGAGCGCTGGTCAGGGAGGCGAAAGAGGAGGAGGAGGAGGAGGAGGAGGAGGAGGAGGAGGAGGAGGAGGAGGGGGAGGGGGAGGGGGAGGAGGAGTGGGACGAGGAAGGAGGAAAAGGTTTTTATCAGCGATCCCATGGGGACATGACCATGGTGCACACAGGCGTGCAACAGCCGCCCATCATAGGTGGGCGAGCGTAAGGCAGCTATGCGAGCCGCCGCGCGGGCCGGAACGCGCGCCAGCATGGCCAGCATCCCGGGTGTGTCGATAGTTGTTCTGGACAGCGCGGGAACGAAATTGAAGTCTTCTTGTGGCGGCAAAGCGGCGGCGTTGCGCAGAAACGACGCACCGCGACGCGTACACACACTGACCGTCGACTGTTCACGATAGAGTGGATATATACCCAAACCGAATCGTCTGCAGATCGTCGGAGAACCCGAAAGCTTACGTTGCGAGCGCTCGTTGCCGAGGAGATGGCACCGCTGTGCAGTGTACCCAACGCACACTACACCAACAAACACATAGTTACAACCTTGTTTTTTTGTTTCGCTCTCTCTCTCTCTCTGGCGCTCTCTCTCTATCTCTCTCTCTCTCTCTCTCCTGAACTACTCACTGGGCCAACTCGTGGCCGATCGTGAGGTCTAGCACCGACCCGCAGGTTTTGAAGAGGCCCTTGCATCCAAACAGTCGCACCGAGGGATCAGAGGAATACTGGAGGCAACGGAGACAACGCGCACGTCCTTGGCCAAGCTCGTCCCAGGCGTGTCAGCCCCCCGATTTCAAAAACTTGGCCCTCGGGCCATTAGGAGGACGACCGAATGTCTCCTGAGGGAAAACCGCCACCGTCTTGCCGAGGACGCTGGCCGCCAAACCAAGCTTTTCACACATCCCGTCCACCTGTTCACTCCCGTGCACAGAGGGTTCAGGGTGGAGGAGGAGCGCCTGCTTGGCGTGAACATTTGCAGTCCAGTTATCCACACCGGTACGTTGTTCTGGCCCAGACAGATCCCGGGACTCGTCCAGAGGCCTTTGGGCCAAGAGCGTTACAGAATTGATTGTTCGTGCCTCGGCCATCGATCTACGATGGTGGCCTCGGTGGCGACGGCAGCGGCAGTAGCAGCGTGTGCGGGCAGTGTTTTCTTACTCGCTCCCAGTACGTGTGCGGCAGGCTTGTGCGCACGACGACTCTCCCGATGCCGCCTCTCTCCCCACCCTATTCTCTCGCATCCGTCACAATTCGCAGTGCCCTCGCCAGGCCTACTGAACGCGCGTGCAGCTTGCCTCTGTCGCGCTGCAACGTAAGACTGTGCGCACGGCAACAGCGACTGCGACGTCGACGGCGACGGCGACCGCGACCGCGACGGCGACGGCGACGACGGCGACGGCGACGGCGACGGCGACGGCGACGGCGACGACGGCAACGACGACGCCGACGACGCCGACGACGCCGACGCTTGCGCTGCAGCGGTGGCGACGGCCACGACGGCGACGACGACGACGACGACGACGACGATGGCGACTGCGACGGCGGCGGCGACGCAGACGGTGACGGCGACGGCGACGGCGGCGGCGAAGGCGACGGCGACGGCGACGGCGACGGCGACGGCAGCGGCGGCGACGGCGACGGCGACGGCGGCGGCGAATGCGAAGGTGACTGCTTCGGCGACAACGACGGCGACGGCGACGGCGACGGCGACGACGACGACGACGACAATGGCGACGGCGACGGCGACGGCGGCGGCGAATGCGAAGGTGACTGCTTCGGCGACAACGACGGCGACGGCGACGGCGACGGCAACGACGACGACGACGACAATGGCGACGGCGACGGCGACGGCGATGGCGACGGCGATGGCGACGGCGACGGCGACGGCGACGGCGGCGGCGAAGGCGACGGCGACGGCGACGGCGAGAGCGACGGCGACGGCGACGACGATGACGGCGACGACGGAAACGACGCCGACGAAGCCGAGGCTTGCGCTGCAGCGGCGGCGACGGCCGCGACGGCGACGACGATAACGACGACGACGACGACGACGACGACGGCTACAGCGACGGCGGCGTCGACGGAGACGCCGGCGACGGCGACGGCGACGGTTCCAGCGACGACGACGGTAACGACGACGGTGACGGCGACGGCGACAGCGACGGCGACGACGACGGTGACGGCGACGACGCGACGGCGACGGGGATGGTGACGGCGACGGCGACGGCGACGGCGACGGCGACGACGATGGTGACGGCGACGGCGACGGCGGCGGCGACGGCGACGGCGACGGCGACGGCGACGGCGACTGCGATGGCGGCGGCGAAGGCGACGGCGACGGCGACCGCGACGGCGAGTGCGGGTGACGACGGCGACTGCGAAGGCGGCGGCGAAGGCGAAGGCGACGGCGACGGCGACGGCGAGTGCGAACGTCGAAGACGACGACGGCGACGGCGACGGCGACGGGCGGACGACGGCGGCGGCGGTGACGGCGACGGCGACGGCGACGGCGACTGCGATGGCGGCGGCGACGGCGACGGCGACGGCGAGTGCGAACGACGACGGCGACTGCGACGGCGGCGTCGAAGGCGAAGGCGACTGCGACGGCGACGACGGCGATGGCGAGTTTGAACGTCGAAGACGACGACGGTGACGGCGACGGCGACGCCGACGCCGACGGCGGCGGCGGCGGCGACGGTGACGGCGACGCCGCTGCGACTGCGACTGCGACTGCGATGGCGGCGGCGAATGTGACGGCGAGTGCGAACGTCGAAGACGACGACGGCGACGGCGACGGCGACGGCGACGGCGACGGCGACGGCGACGGCGACGGCGACGGCGACGGCGACGGCGACGGCGACGGCGACGGCGACGGCGGCGGCGAAGGCGACGGCGACGGCGACGGCGACACGGCGACTTCGACGGCGTCGGCGAAGGCGAAGGCGACGGTGACGGCGAGTGCGAACGTCGACGACGGCGACGGCGACGGCGACGGCGACGGCGACGGCGACGACGACGGTGACGGCGACGGCGACGGCGGCGGCGACGGCGACGGCGACGGCGACGGCGACTGCGATGGCGGCGGCGAAGGCGACGGTGACGGCGACGGCGACGGCGACGGCGAGTGCGAACGACGACGGCGACTGCGACGGCGGCGGCGAAGGCGAAGGCGACGGCGACGGCGACGGCGACGGCAGCGACGAGGATGCCGCCCTCTGCGCCTCTGCCAGTGCCTGCCCGAATCAGGGGGCCTCCCCGAGGAGGCCTCCCCGGAGAGGGCCTCCCCGAAGAGGGCCCCTCCGAGGGGCCTCCGGAGGGGGCTTCCCCGATGGGGCCTCCGAGGGCTTCTCCAGAGGGCTTCCCGAGGGGCAGGGCCTCCAGAGGGTCTCCAGGGCCCTCCGGAGGGCCCCTCCAAGGGGCCCCCGAGGCGCCTCCGAGGTTCTCTCCGATGAGGGCCTCTGGAGAGTGCCTCTCCGAAGAGGGCCTCTCAGATGAGGGCCTCTAAGAAGAGCGCCTCCCCGAGGGGCCTCCGAAGAGCGCCTCTCCGAAGAGGGCCCATCCGAGGGGCAGGGCCGCTGGGTCCGCCGGCGCCGGCGGCGGGGAGGACGGCGGCGGTCGGGAGATCTGAGATAGGGGTTGACGCAAGCGGTCGGTGGTTCAGAGATGGGGTCTTGAGGGATGGTGTCCGAAGGACAGGAAGGGGTCCAAGGGTAATTCGATTGACATTGTTTGAGGCACTTCGTCCGTAGGACCCCATCCTTCAGGACCTCACCTTTGGACCGCGGATCGTGCAGTATCCTGCAGAGCTAGGGCGCCAGGTGTTTAATGCAAGTGGAGGTCAGCAAGGGTGCCAGCTCTTGGATCCTGCAGACCCAGGACGCCGGATTTTGCAGGATTTTGCAGAGCCAGGGCTGCACTCACCCGGGTTAGGGTGCAGGGTAGGATCTTGCATCGACTACTCCTGACTCCTGAGAGTGACCCTCGGCAAGAGTGACCTTTGGTGCGGGTTCATCGGGACCTCCCCGAGCGCTAAAAGCGAAGCGATAGCAGCTGCATGCGCGCTCGGATTTGGCCCTTTTGTGCCTCCTTTTTCCGCGCACCAAAGGTCACTCCTGCTTAGGGTCACTCTTGCGTGTGGCCAACTGCAGGATCCTGCAGGATCCTGCAAAGTCTGACTGACCTGGATTTGCGTAGACGCGGACCAGTGCGTCCCCGACGGGCCGCTGGGGGCTGCTGGCGGCGGCAGCGGCGGCGGCAACGGCCACGAGCCCCCGAGCGGTGGTTCAAAGATGGGGTCCTGAAGGATGAACAGAAAACGGAATAAACATGAGCTTTTGACGGTCCTCGCGGATTCGCTGGATCTGCGATGGGCCCCCCTGACGGGGCCACGCCACGTATTCTTGGCGCCGCTGGCGGGAATCTGGGGAGCAGGGGCAGAAGGATTTGGATGAGGTGGAGATGGAGGAGGGGGAGCCTGAGGAGGAGGAGGAGCTGGAGGAGGCTGAGGAGCAGGAGGAGGAGGAAGGAGGAATAAGGAGGAGGAGGAGGAAGTGAGGAGGAAGTGTGGAGGAGGACGAGGAGGAGGAGGGAGAGTGGAGGAGGACGACGAGGGAGGAAGAGGAGGAGGAGGAGGAGGAGGAGGAGGAGGTGGAACAGGAGGAGGAGGAGGAGTTCGGCGCCCTCTGTGTATTGCACACGCGCAGCCAACGAACTACCGCCTGGAGAGAAGCAACAGCTGCGCAGGAATGGCATAGGGGGTGACCACGGCGCTTGTGAAGACTCGCGGCCCAGCGGTTCCGACATGGTGCGTTGGGAGCCAAAGGCATCCCAGTCAGAACAGCTGGCACGGCATACTGAGGAGCACAAGCTCCCGAGCCTTGGGTGGGCACAAGGCCCCTTGGGACTTACGTGGCACAAGCAACCGCCTCCCGAGGAAATGCCGATCCCTGAGGGTCAGATCACAAAGAAATGACCGTCAACAGCAGGGCCAGGCTGAGACGGGGGCCGTGCTACACCCAACGACGGGAGACCCGTCGATACAGGTTTCGCAACGTCCACCCCAAGCCCCAGAGCCCGCAGTTCCAGAAACATCGGCTGGTTGCACCCGAGGGTGCACGGCACTGACACCATGAAAACAGGTGCCAGGCCCCCCCCTCGGGGCGGAGGAGGAGGAGGAGGAGGAGGAGGAGGAGGAGGAGCAGGAGGAGCAGGAGGAGCAAGAGGAGGAGGAGGAGGAGGAGGAGGGGGAGGAGGAGGAGGAGGAGGAGGAGGAGGAGGAGAGGAGGAGGAGGAGGAGGAGGAGGGGGAGGAGGAGGGGGAGAGGAGGAAGAGGAGGAGGAGGAGAGATGAGGAGGAAGGAGGAGGAGGAGGAGGAGGAGGAGGAGGAGGAGGAGGAGCAGTGACGACCCAGTAGGAGGCGGAGCAGCGGACGCAGGGGAGGAGAGCGGCGGGCAGGGCCACGAGCCCACGGGCATGCCGCCCGCCCTCGGGGCGAGCTGGCCGGGCACCCTGGGCGGCCTGGGCACGCCGATGCCGCCCTGGGGCGGGGGCGGGGGTGGGGCGGGGAGGGCCGCCGCGCGGCGCCCGAGCGTGCTGGAGCTGGTGGGCCGACGTTCCACTGCCACTGCCAGGAGGGAGGATGGGCAGGTCCTCCTTCTGCTCCTCCTCCTTCTCCTCCTCCCCCTCCTCCTCCTGCTCCTGCTTTCCTCCTCCTCCTCCTCCTCCTGCTCCCTCTCCTCCTGCTCCTCCTCCTCTTCCTTCTCCTCCTCCTTCCCCTCCATTCCTGTTCCTTCTGACGAACTTCTCCCCGTCGCACCCCGGGGCAAGTTTTTATGGCGTGCCGGGCGTTCCCCATGAGACCCCTCCCCATTTATGATTCTGAAACTCAGAAAGTGGCAGCAGTTTCACAGATGGAGAGGGTGGTTTTTCTAAATGTGGCTCTCGCCCTAGCGCCGCGCAAATTCGTTCTCAACATGAGCAAGAGCTTCACGGATTGAGGGTCACCCGTTTTCAAACTGTGGTTCTCGCCCTTGCGCCGTGCATAGTCGTTTTAAACATGTGCAAGAGTTACACGGATTGAGGATCACTCGTTTTCAATATGTGATTCTCGCCTTAGCGCCGCGCACATCCGTCCTAAAACATGGCAAGAGCTTCACGGACTGGGGGCGGCTCCTTTTCAATATGTGGTTCTCGTTTCAGCGCCGCACACATTCGTTTCATAAAATTCAGAAGATGTTCGCAGATTCCCGTGATCAACGTACCAGGCTGGCGTTTTGGAAGGATTCCGGATTTTGCAGGTGCACCAGTTACGTTGATTCGCGGCACGATCCAGGATCGTCAAGACGCAACAATCAGGGTGATCCGTGGCGATGGAATCCCGCGACAATGTTTTGGCATGCTTCTCCGTAGCCATTTTGGCTCAAGCCATCCTGGCTCAAGGGTCGTTTTTTTCTCAAACGACTATGGCTTGCACTTTTCCTGCCTGGGCTCACCACGTGGCTCGATGATGTGCGGCCGAGTCAGGTGCCACGCTGGAGGCAGAATACCAGTACAGTCCTTACTACCATGTTGAAGGGTGCTCATTGTGCACACATCCAAGGCGGTCATCGCATATTTCAAGCGTTACGGTTTTGTTGCTCGCCCACAGAAGTCGTGGATTCTCGAACGCAGCTCGTGTTTTGTTCCGATCGGATTCCTGCGGTTAGCTCTTTGGGCAGGGTCAAGTCTGCATATGGGAAGATATCTTATGGATGTATCACAGCAGCTGGATATTGTGTCACTTCCGTGGGAAGACAACGCGCCATGGTTCATCGTTTGGTGGCCCGTGCATTCCTTGGCCCACCACCAACAGCCCAGCACTCCGATGTGCACCACATTGACGGCGTTCGCAGCAACAACAAATCGCAGAATTTGCAGTATGTGACGCGCAGCCAGAACATTTGGTTCTCTTGGCGGAATCCCAATCGGGGTGTTCCTGCAGGTGCTCTTTCGCTGCCAGTGAGGGGTAGACCTCGCGGAGCTGAAGTATGGCATCATTTCAAGTCCATGCGAGAAGCAGAGCGGATGAGCAGTGCGTCCCATGTTAGATTTCGTTGTAATGGGATGTATAAGCAAGTTGGAGGGTGGGAGTTCCAGCGCGTGGAGCCCAATGTTGTCAACACGCTACAAGGAGAGCAGTGGCTAGATGCGCTTTATCCAGACACTGGTGTTCTTATACGTGGGTGGGAGGTCAGTTCCCTCGGGCGAGTACGTTCATCGCGTGCCCCAGCCTCTTGGGGAACTTTGACTGCCTGTGGTTACCGTTCCGTCGGGATTTCAATAAAAGGCCACGCGAAACGATTCTTGGTCCACCGCATTGTCGCGCGCTCGTTCCTGATTCCAGGTCCCCCGTCAGGCAGCTGGGTAGTCAACCATAAAGACAGTGACCGAAACAATAATCATGTTGATAATTTAGAGTACGCGACACCTTCCGAGAATTTACGTCATTCGTACCGAAACAATCCGAGACGGCGGACCAATCGCGAGGCGCTCGCAAAGCCTATTTTGGGTCGACCGCTTGGAGGTGATGTTTGGCAACGGTATCCTTCTGGAGCGGACGCGGCCAAGCTTCTAGGTCTCTCGCAAAGTGCAATTTCAAAATGTTGCATGGGCAAATCTCGCCAAACAAAAGGCTTTGAATTTGAATTTGCAGCTCCAGTTCTTCCTGATGTGCTGGAAGGCGAGGAGTGGAGAAACATAGTATAGGATCTCCGCTTCTCCCCATAAGCGCCGCCGTGTCGTCGGATCACGAGTCCTTCCTTTGCAGCTTTGGCTCGGTGCTGCTTTGCCACATTGCACCTCGCGCGGCTCCGAGACGACTCCTCTCCGCGAGGCTAGGCGAGGCGGGAAGTTTTCAAGCGTGGGGCAGGGAGAGGGGCAAACATCTCCCCGAAGGTCGAGCTTACAGAGGGGGGAAGGGCGTGTCGTCCAGAGAGGCGCTGCATAGCCGCGAGTACACGTTACGATGTTGTTCTGCGCGCGACCAGGAGAAAAACATGTTTTGGCATGCTTCAGGGGGGTCAAACGGTTGTTTTCCAACAAGGCAGGTCCCTCAATGGCAATGAACCGTTGTAGGAGCCTATGAAGATGGAGCTTAGAGGATGGGTGTATTCCAATATCGTTGATGGCTCTCGGGTTAACACTGGTTCTCCTTCTCCTCCTCGTCCTCCACCTCCTCGTGCTCCTCCCTCTCCTGCCTATGGCGGTAGTGATGGAAGATCGGCCCACCATGAGCTCGAAGCAGACCTCAACGGCAGAAGCAGGAGCTTTCGGAGCTCCGCGGGTTCTTCTCGCCGTCGCCGCCGCCGCCGCCGTCGACGTCGAGCGCCCTCCGAGGGGCAGGGCCGCGGGGGGTTGCCGGCGACGGCAAGGGCGGCGGCGGCGGCAACGGCCACGGGCCCCTGATGGGCGGTTCAAGGAGGGGGCCAGAACCATGATGCCATCCCAGGCGGTCGATGTTGGTGTCCCGATGTTAGGCAATGTCCGCGTGCACGCGCCATGGCAACGACATTGAGGTTGTTTCACTGCGGTGAAAATACGAGACTGTGCAATACCAATGCTTTACGATGCCCGAGAGCCCCTATCAGGGCCAGGACAACTACGTTGCAATCGAACTATGGGAGTTGTGTGTTTCTGCTGTCGCCAACTGCATGCTCAGGGCTGCAGTCCGCAGATTGGCAGAATTTGCGACAGTAGTGTTGGCTATTGTCTAATGGCTCTAGGTACAGGGTCCACCAACAACCCAGCTCCTCCTCTTGCTAAGACCGCGGGGTTTATTTGTTGTGCCTATACAGCTTGTCTGTCTCGCTTCTAAGGCGATGGTTGCTTTCACCATGTTCGAATTCGGTAACCCGTGGTCTCTGTATGGTCGGCCGTATGGTCTCCCGCATGGTGTCTCGTATGGTTTCCCGCATGGCCACCCGTATGTTTTTGTCCGTCTGTCCTCCAGTATGTCTTCCCGTATGTTTTTTGTCCGCGTGGTTTTCCATGTGGTTTCTTTACATGGTCTCCCGTTCGGTCTTCCGTACGATCTCTTTCAGGAGGGAAAAAAACCACACAGACACTATGAATCGTCGATTCCCAGGAAAATATGGGAAACTATGGGAAGTGGGGGGAAGACAGAAGCCCCACAAATATTGGAAAATATGGGGAATATGTTTATTTGTGTGTATTTATATGTATGTCCTGGGGCCCCTTCACTCCTGTCTAGTTTCGCGCATGGCCTCCCACACGGTCTCCCGTCTCCCGCATGGCCTCCCACTTGGTATCTTGTTGCGCAGTCTCCCGCGCGGTCTCCCATGCCACTGTCCCTTGGCGATGGTCTCCTCGTCTCCCGCATGTTCCTTCGAATGGTCTCCCGTAGGGTCTCCCGAATCTGTGTTGTGTATGGTCTCCCGAACGGTTTCTCCTATTGTCTCCCGCGTAGAACCCCGCACAACACTCCGCATCATCTCTCGCAGGGTCCCCCTCATGAGCTCCCGTATGGTCTTCCGTATGGCCCCCTGGTTGGTTCCCCGCAGTGGTTGTGTGTGTGTGTGTGGTTTGTTTGTTTGTATGTTCTCCCGTACAGTCGGCCGGGATTAGTAGGTTGACCCTGCCAAGTCAAGGGTACCCTTGTGTCCTGTCGTCAGAGGCCCGTGCCCTTTGCATTCCTAGGGCGATGCAGCCCTCGGAAGGGTCTTGTGTCCTCTCGCGTGTCCTGTCCAATCGGGTCCGACCGCATGCGACATGGCCTTCCGCCTGTGGCTTCCCGCGCGGTCTCCCGCACGGCCTCCCGCGGGCTCTCCCGCACGTGGCCTCCCGCGCATGGCCTCCCGCAGTGGTCTCCCCCCCCGCACGTGGCCTCCCGCGTGCTCTCGCTCCCGCGCGGCTCTCCGCACGGCGTCCAGCACGGTCGCCCGCGTGGTTGTTTCCGTGTGTGATGCAGCGAGCGGCTTGAGCAAGGAACACTTACAGTCGGCCCGGATGAGTAGGTCGACCCTGCCAGCTCAAGGGTACCCTCGTTTTTCTTGTGTCTCGCGACCCGTGCCTCCCGCATGCCTATGGCAATGTGGCCCTTGGAAGGGTCATGTGTCCTCTCGCGCGTCCTGTCCACTCAAGTCCGACTGTACGTTTCAAAAGGGGCTCGGCTGTTCCTTAGGCTTGTTTGCGTCATGCTTCTTCCTCTGCCGTAAAAGTGTTCCCCTCTCTCCCCCCCTACCTCCCTACGTTCCCGCTGCGCTTCCGCGTGTTACGTATCTTGCCACACGGCCTCCCCTTCCACCCCTTACCTCCCTTTCCCCCCAGTATTGTTTCAGTTGCCCTTCCTCTTGGTTTTCAGTGGGCACCAGCAAACTGTGGCACACACGGGGTGGTGAAGGCCGACGGCTCCATCGAAGATTTGCTCGGCAACACGTGGACACATTTCTTCGCCGCCTAAATGAAGGATGGTCTCGCGCATGGTGGCCGAGTCAGTCAGCGAGAGCATACGTATCGCGCTGGCTGAACACAAGACGGCGTTGGGCCATGTAGCGTGGAATGCAGCAGGTCATGGTGCCCCCGAGGTATGGTCCAGACGATTCCCCACAGCCAGAGAGGCCCCAGAGCTCGTACACCATGTTGTGTGTTTCAGCGGGCACACGATCGTGGGATGTGGTGGTGCACACGCGTGGGGATCTGCAGGTGCCGTGCCTGTGGGTTCTCTAAGCGCACGGAGGCGGCTCTTGGGCATCTCTCTGGCGGGTTTCTTCGCCCAGGGTCTCCAGGGGCGGTGGTTTTTCTGGGGCCCCGCTCCCTGCCGGACCCGGTGTCTGGCCATTCGGCCCCCCAGGTTGTTTCTGCTTTGTCCCGAGGTGCGCTCGTTCGGTCGTTCGTCGCACGCCCTCCTTCGGCTCGCTCGCTCCCCCCGATTCCCTCCCTTTGCCTCCCTGTCCGTCTTCTCCTCTCTGCTCTTTCCCCTCCGGCCCCCGCTTTCCCCCGCCCTCTTCCCCTCGCCTCCCCTCCGCCCGCCTGATGTCTTGAGCTTGTTCGAGGCAGGGCCCACGCAGGTCCCGACCCTCTCCCCTGGGCCAGTTTCCTGTGGTGTTGGGTCGTTCCTCCTCTTCCCCCTCCTCCCCCTCCTCCCTCCTCACATCCCTGCCTCTCTTCTCCGCATGCCCATCCCATTCAGGCAGAGCACTCACACCGTTCGTGGCCCCATAGGGAGCTCCACCGAAGGCCCCAGCAGCAAGGTCCGCATGCGTCCCCCCGCCCATTTCGGCACACCCCCAACGAGGATCGTGGCCCCACAGGGAGCTCCACCGAAGGCCCCAGCGGCAGGGTCCGCATGCGTCCCCCCGCGCATTTCGGCACACCCCCCACGAGGATCGTGTCCCCATAGGGAGCTCCACCGAAGGCCCCAGCGGCAGGGTCCGCATGCGTCCCCCCGCGCATTTCGGCGCACCCCCCACGAGGATCGTGTCCCCATAGGGAGCTCCACCGAAGGCCCCAGCAGCAGGGTCCGCATGCGTCCCCCCGCCCATTTCGGCACACCCCCAACGAGGATCGTGGCCCCACAGGGAGCTCCACCGAAGGCCCCAGCGGCAGGGTCCGCATGCGTCCCCCCGCGCATTTCGGCACACCCCTCTCGAGGATCGTGGCCCCACAGGGAGCCCAACCGAAGGCCCCAGATGCAGGGTCCGCATGCTCATTTCGGCACACCTCTCACGAAGATCGTGGCCCCATAGGGAGCTCCACCGAAGGCTCTAGTGGCAGAGTCCGCATGCGTCCCCCCACCCATTTCGGCACACCCCTCACGAGGATCGTGTCCCCATAGGGAGCTCCACCGAAGGCCCCAGCAGCAGGGTCCGCATGTGTCCCCCAGCTCATTTCCGCACACACCTCACGAGGATCGTGACCCCATAGGGAGCTCCACCGAAAGCCTCCGCGGCAGGGCGTCCCCCTGCCCATTTCGGCACACCCCTCACTAAGATGGTGGCCCCATAGGAAGCCCCACCGAAGGCCCCAGCGGCTGGGTCCACATGCGTCCCCCTGCCCATTTCGGCACGTCCCTCACGAGGACCGTGTCCCCATAGGAAGCTCAACCGAAGGCCCCCGCGGCAGGGTCCGCATGCGCCCCCCCGCCCATTTCGGCACACCCCTCACGAGGGTCGTGGCCCTGGAGGGAGCTCCACCGAGAGCGGTACCCACAACGCGGCACTCACAAGTGCATGTGGTTGGGTCCTTCGCCAGGATAATTAATTCATTGTTGTGCCGATCGGCGCGGGCCCTCGCACCCCCCCTCCCCCCCCCCTCCACGGAGTAGATCTTGGCTGTTTTTCGGCGCCTACTTCAGGCAGGTGGAGTCTCCCCCACAGGACGCACGGTTGCAAACAGTCGTACTAAGCAGAGGTTCAGAGCCAGACCCCCCGTTCCCCTCCCCTTCGACTGTCAAGTGTCGAAACGCCGAATAAGAAAACGCTCCCCGAACACGAGGCAACACATGTGCGCATCGAATCAATTGAATGCGATAGGGGTTCCGGACTGGGGTGTGGAAAGGTGACTTCTGGACCCATCCTGGGCTGCGTTTGGATCCGAATGTCGCGGCGGATATCCAGCCGTGGTGGCGAGACCGCCTGCCCCTGGTGGCCCCAGAATGGCCAGAAACTGCCAGCACCAAAATTCGTGCCGTGCACAAAGGAACTCAAGTGCTGTTCCCCACGCGACAGGTTGGGGCTGCTAGATCTTAAGAAGACCCGCCCACTCCTCATACCGCGGCCGCCAGATCCCCAGGTCAACCGGGCATCCCCCGAGTATCCCGCCCCCCACGCTTTTAGCAAGCATGACAGAACAAAACTACCATAATGTATCATGCCAGAACAGACCATGAGAGACAAATAACACTACTTAGCATGGCAGAACAGAGTATGATTGAAAATTATGCTACCGGAGTTCCCCACAGAAGGCTGAGGCGGGGCCTCCGCTGGACGGGTGGACGGGGCACGAAACCTGGGAGACAGCTTGTCGCTCAGGGGAGGCATCTTTGGAGACACGGGAGGGCACGAAGCCTGCGAAATTTAACGAAAGCTGAGCTCGGCAGCGTGCTTATTTGCAGCGCAGAGAAGCTATTGGGGCGAGCAAGAGACGATCTACGGCACGTAACCTGATGAATCACATGGTATCCGAATACTGTCCTCGCTCAGGCGGGGCGTTCTTGGACGGGTGCGAGGGGCACGTAACCTGATAAACCACATGGTATCCGAATACTGTCCTCGCTCCGGCGGGGCCTCCCTGGAGGGGTGGGAGGGGCACGTAACCTGATAAATCACATGGTATCTGAATACTGCCCTCGCTCAGGCGGGCCCTCCCTGGACGGGTGGGAGGGGCACGTGACTTGATAAATCACATGGTATCCGAATACTGTCCTCGTTCAGGCGGGGACTCCCTGGACAGATGGGAGGGACAAAAAAACTGATAAATCACATGGTATCCGAATACTGTCCTCGCTCAGGCGGGGCGTTCCTGGACGGGTGCGAGGGGCACGTAACCTGATAAACCACATGGTATCCGAATACTGCCCTCGCTCAGGCGGGGCCTCCCTGTAGGTGTGGGAGGGGCACGTAACCCGGTAAATCACATGGTATGCGAATATTGTCCTCGCTCAGGCGGGGCCTCCCTGGACGGGTGGGAGGGGCACGTGACTTGATAAATCACATAGCATCCGAATACCGTCCTCGTTCAGGCGGGGCCTCCCTGGACGGGTGGGAGGGGCACGTAACTTGATGAATCACATGGTATCCGAATACTGTCCTTGCTCAGGCGGGGCCTCCCTGGCCGGTTCGATGGGCACGTGACATGATATTTCACATGGTATCCGAATCTTGTCCTCGCTCAGGTATTGTTATGTTTTGGTATGGTATGGTATGTTATTGTATGGTATGGCATGGTATGGTATGTATGGTTTTGCGATGGCCTGTGGAACAGGAAGCGGGAGAAGGAGAGGGAGAATAATAGGGTGTTCTGGGAAAACAAGGACCCCACTCAGGATGTGGGGAATCAACTAGCATAACATCACATACTATACCAGAGCATACCATGTCATACCACATCATATGTGCTCCCTACTCGACAGGTTGGGGCTGTGAGGTTTTCAGAACAGATTTCCCGACCCGCCAACCCTGCATACCGCAGCCGCCGGATCCCTTAATAGGATCGAGTAGGAGATCTAATGCCATCACATGGCATGGCAGTCACATAGCATAACATACCATAACATGGCATGCGAGAGCATGACAGACGAGAGCATCACATACCATCACATAATGTACAAGAGCAGAACATGACAGAGCACCTCATACTTGGCTTCTTCCTCGAAGGTCTGGGTTAATAGGTTTTAAGAGCAGACCTCTCGACCCGCCCTGCATACCGCGGCCGCCAGATCCCCGGGTCCACGGGGTGCCCCCCGAGTTGCCCCCCCCCCCCCCTCCGCGCGTTCGAAGAAGTTGACGTAACAAACTTGACAAGATCATGACAGACCAGAGCATGACAGGCGCATGACATACCATGGCATGGCAGATCAGAGCAGCATGCCATAATGTAGCATACCGCAATATCACAACATACCATAGCAGACCATGACATACCATATTTTTTTTAAGCGCTTCGCTCATTCCGCCGGTCCATTTCGCACCACGGTGGCTGCATGGTGGTGTGTTCGTGCCCATGGGGAATAGTTGGGCAGGCAGGATTGTCCTCGAGGAGGTTTTTTGAGATGCGGATCGCACCCTGTCGAAGTGAGCCGATAGACTGCCCCAGAAAGCGCCAAGATGTCTCACGAAAGCTCCAACAGAGTTTCGAGACGTATCTGGGTTGTGGGTCAGAGTCCTCTGGGACGCTTCTTGGGATGAGCGGGCTCGGGAGGATGCAGCAAGGTCAAATGACGCCTATCGCCATTTCATTGCCTACGCTTGTTGGGGTCTCTTCGGAGGGCTCTCGGGAGCCTCTGGGGAGCAGTTTCGAGGCCTCTGGGAGGAGTCTTGGAGGCCCCTTAGGGCTTCTTAGGGGCTTGTTGGGGGTATTAGGAGCTCCTTTTCGGGCCTCTTTGGGGCCTCCTGGGGCCTCTTTAGGGGCTCTTTGGGACCTCTGGGGGCTTCCTGGGCGCCTCTTGGAGCCGAGAGTTCGAAATGTATGTTCGGGTTCCCCCTCTGGACTCTGGGGGCCATTCATCGGGCCGTTTGGGAGCCCTCCTGGAGGCTTTCTGTACCGTTTTGGAGCGATCTTGTGGCCTATTGGGCCGTCCAGGGTGGTCGGCAGCTCGAAAAGGTGGTACCGCCAACATCGATCGAACATCCAAGCAACATCAATGTTTTCTGGTCTTGCGGAGCCTCTCGAAGTTCTTGGAGCGTCTTGGGCGCTTCTTCGGCCGTCTTGTGACAAACGTGGGCCATCTTAGAACGTGCTTGGCCTGAGGCCGTGGGGCGTGTCATTCTTTTGGCGCTTCACTGGGGCGCACGAGGGGGCCCCGAGGCCGCGCCCAGGAGTTCCGACATCTCTGACCCGATCTTGCCCGGACCCTGGTCGGACCTGCCGGGACCTTGCCCGGACCTGCTGGGACCTTGCCAGGTTTCTTCATCCGCGGACCCCCAGGGGCTACCACCCGACAGGTTGAGGCTCTCGGATTTCAAGAAACGTCCGCCCGACCCGCCTACCCTGCACGCCGCGGCCGCCCGATCTTCAGGTCCACCAACTGTCCCTCGAGTATCCCGCTCCCCGCGCCTTCGATGAGACAGAACAGAGCAGAGAAGAGCATGACAGTAGAGAACAAGGTAGACAGAACAGAGCATGTCATGACATACACAGCATGACAGAACAGAAAAAACATCGCACAACATCACGTAATATACCAGAGCAGAACGTGACAGAACACACCAGTCCTGTTCCCCACCCTACGGGTTGGGCTTGTTAGGTTCTAAGGACAGGCCTCCCGACCCGCCGACCCCGCATACAGTCAGCCCGCACTGCAAGGATGCACAGTAAGGCTGCAAGCGCCTTGGACTTGGCATCGCTCAGACGTGTGCATTTTTTCTAGGCGGGAACCATCGAGGACCATCCTGGACCATCGAGCAAAAAAAACACGCACGAAACCGAAACATGCACGGGAAATGGACTTCCGATCGACGGCAAGTGGAGGGCCCACAGTGAAAGTCGCCAAGGCTGGCCCGCAGGGGCAAGGCTGCAAAGGGGGGTTCCCTTGGGAAGGCTGCCCATCCTTCCTGTGCGGGCCGACTGCACCACGCCCGCCAGAGCCCACGTGTGCGGCCGCACCTCTGTCCGCACGGCGGCCTCCTCGCCCCCTGGCGCCCGGCCGCGCTCCCGCCCCCTGCGCCGGAGCCCTCCTTCGTCGTCGTCGTCGTCGTCACCGTCGTAATCGCCGTCGTCGTCGGCAAGGGGAGGAGGAGGAGGAAGAGGAGGAGGAGGAGGGAGGGAGAGGAGGCGAAAGCAGGAGGAGGACGGGACTCCCATTCTGCCACCTCTTCCGCTTCCTCCCATCATGGGAGGAGGAAGGAGGGATGAGGAGAATGGAGCAGGAGGAGGAGGAGGGGGACATGCGCCGAAGGTTTCGGTGGTGATTGCTTGAAGCAAAATATGTTTGCCAGTTCACGGATACTGTTTGAAGTTAGTTAGTGATGAAGTCAGTTTTGGCCAGTTTTGGATACATTGTTATGGCAATATCAAAAGAAAATCGTTCGAGGGTCCTCCATCTTTCCTCCCCCTCTGCCGGCCTTCGCCCGATCGCCCTACCACCCCCTCCTTCTCCCCGGCAGAGGGGTGGGGTGGGCAGCCGTTGCCCAAGCCGTGGCCGCCCAGATGGACGCCCCGCAGCAGGAGGGGCGGGTGGGGGTTCGGGTCACCCGACAATTTTGGTTTCCTAGGTGGGGTCAGAGTAGATGGGGTCGAAGGATCGCTCCGGATGTGGGGCCCGATTTTCTCCACGCAGACGTCGCCGATGCATCGCCGACGTCGCCGATGCATCGCCAGTGAATTTCCCATGCATCGCCGATGCATTGCCGATGCGGCGCGACCTCCGACCCCATCCACTCCGACCCCATGTAGGAGGCCCCTAGACAAGGAAGGGGGGATGTTTGGAAGAGGGGTAACGAATGGGTTTGAGGTTTCCTACGTTGGGGGAGGGAGGGGATGCGTTCCGATGAGGGTTCCTACGTTGGATCATGTTCTGGCCTCTGGATGGTCTCCATCAGCTGCCCGCCGAGGGCGTCCCCGGGGGCCTGCATCTCCCCGAACGGCCGCCGGCGAGCCGAGCTGCTGCCCGAAGCGGGGATCGCGTGACGGGGTCAGCGTCATTGGGGGTCAGCCAACTTGATGATGATGATGATGATGATGATGATGATGATGATGATGAGGATGAGGATGACGATGATGATGATGATGACGACGATGATGACGGTGGTGATGATGATGGTGGTGGTGAGGATGCGGATGAGGATGAGGATGAGGATGAGGACGAATGAGGATGACGATGAGGATTATATGATGATGTTGTTGATGATGGCTGATGCTGATATTGATGCTCATGCTGATGTTGCTGCTGATGATGATGATACTGATTATGATTATGATGATGATGTGGATGCTGCAGATGATGATGACCATGATGTTGTTGATTATGATGATGATGATGATGATGATGATGATGATGGTGGTGGTGATGCAGATGGTGACGATGATGACGATGCTGCCAATGACGATGATGATGATGATGATGATGATGATGATGCTGATGATGATGATGCAGATGACGATTGTGATGCTGATGCTGCTGATGATGATGATGATGATTATGACGGTGGTGATGATGATGGTGGTGGTGAGGATGCGGATGAGGATGAGGATGAGGATGATTGAGTGTGACGATGAGGGTGATGTGATGACGTTGTTGATGATGTTGATATTGATGTTCATGTTGATGATGATGCTGATGATGATGATGATGATGACGATGACGATGCTGATCATGATGATGATGCTGATGATGACGATGACGAGTATGATGATGATGACGATGACGATGACGATGATGATGATGATGATGATGATGATGATGATGATGATGACGGTGGTGGTGATGATGGTGATGACGATGACGGTGGTGATGATGATGGTGGTGGTCAGGATTCGGATGATGATGAGTATGAGGATGGCTGAGGGTGACGTTGAGGATGATATGATGATGTGCTTGATGATGCTGATATTGATGTTCATGCTGATGATGATGACGATGACGATGACGATGATGATGATAATGATGCTGATGCTGATGACGATGATGATGATGATGATGACAATGTCGATGATGATTACGATGACGATGACGATGACGATGACGATGACGATGACGATGCCGATGATGATGATGATGATGATGATGATGATGATGATGATGATGATGATGATGATGATGATGATGATGATGATGTGGATGATGCAGATGCCGATGATGATGACGATGATGATGATTATGATGATGCTGATGCTGATGATGATGCTGATGATGATGCTGGTGATGATGATGCTGATGATGATGATGATGCTGATGATGATGATGATGATGATGATGATGATGATGATGATGATGATGATGATGATGATGCAGATGGGTCGGGGGATCGCGCCGCATCCCCGACCGATGCATCGGTGGCGCGGCGCGATCCAAGGCCTAGAGTGTAGACCCATGCCGAGAAACACCCCGCTTGCCTCCAGGATGCCCTGGGCTTCTTTGGTTTCGATGGTCTTGCGATGGGGAGCGTGACGCTCCCACATCGAAAATCAATGGACGTCCTGGGGTCTCAGGCTTTGGTTTCTTGAGGCAGGTTCCTTGTGGATTGGCCTCCTACTGTGCACCGCCGATGCGTCCCGCGGTGCGGTGCGACCGTCCAGCCCCATCTGCTGCGGCCCGTCTTCGGGGAGGGCTCTGGGAGCGGGAGCAGGGTGCCGGGCACAGAGCGGTCGCGCGGAGCAGGGAGGAGGCGGGGGGGGAGGCAGGGGGAAGGCAGGGGCGAGGAGGCGGGCAGGGGGGAGGCAATCTCGGCGGCGACCGAGGGGGGGGGAAGGGAAAAGGAGAAGGCCTTCTCAGAAGGCGGCGGGGCTTCTCAGACGCCCTCGCGCCTTCTGAGAGGTTGTCTGTGTCGTCCAGGGAAGGCTCAGAATCTTTTTGTTCGGAAGGCCAGGGGACTCCCGGCCCTTCCGAGAAGGCCCGCCCCTTCTCATTTTTCCCCCCTGGGCTCGCCGCCGGCAATCGGTCAGCAGGGAAGCCGATCGACGCGAAGTGTCTCCAGCATGAGTCGCCAAGCGCGTTCCACTACTCGCAAACGTCCGAAAAACCCACGTTCGCCTCGATGCAATCTATCGTAAATCCCCACGGCGCATCCAGGCCAGTTGCGAGTAGTGACTTTGCGAGTAGCGGAACGCGCTTGCCTCATGAGCGCGGCAGGAACGGCAAGGGGGAGGTGCCAGGGGGGGAGGTGCCCATGGGGGCGAGGGAGCGCGGCGGGGAGGGCGAACATGGGAGGAGGTGGACGGGGAGGGCCCGGGGAGCGGGCGCTCTCGCGCCGGCCGTGGCCCCTCCTTGCCGGCCACCTCTGCCGCTCAGGGCCTCTCCTCCTCGCATGGAGGAGGAGGGCCCAGAGCTTCGAAGAAGAAAGAGCACGTAAACATCAACTTTTGGCGCTCCGCGCGGATTCCTTGGATCCCCGCTGGGCCCCACCCGGCGGCGCCTCCGGCGCCGCCCCTGGCGCGCTGCGCGCTCCAGGGAGGGGGGGTCCAGCGCGGATCCAAGAAATCCGCGCGGAGCGCCAAAAGTGTATGTTTATGCTCTTGTTGAGGAGGGGGAGAGGAGGAGGCGGAGGAGGAGGAGGAAGAGGAGGAGGAGGAGGAGGAGGAGGAAATGGAGGAGGAGGAGGGCCCAGAGTTGCAACGTATGGAACAGTTCCGTGCGGCGATCTTTTTCGCAGGCATCTCGGCACACCTCGCCGGGCCCCGGTGGACCGTCAAAGACAACGACGTCTCGGGAGGGGCGCGGCGGGCTCTCTCGGGGGAGAGGGTCTCGGGATTTGCCGGGGGCCCCGCGCACGTGGAGAACAAATCAGGACATCGGGCTCCCGGGAGGGGGGAGAGGAGGAGGGAGGAGGGAAGAAGGAGCAGCGAGAGGGGGACGGAGTTGGGGGGCCAAGCCGACCTGCTTCTAGAAGACCAATATCTTCGGCCGATGCCAAATGCTCCTTGTGACCCAATCGGGGGTCCAGCTGGAAGGGGGTGGTGCAACAGATTTGGGGCAAGTTGATTGCAAATGTACTGCGCAGGAGAATGGTACTATTGCATTGTATGGCAAGGAATGTACTGCACGCGACAATCCAGCAATTCATTTGCGCCCCGGAAGGTATTGCACGCCCCAAATGCATTGCAACCCCGCAAGTCAATTTCACCGAATCTATTGCATCACTTCTTGTCGCTGGACCCTCTTCTGGGTCAACCCGAGAAGAGGAGGAGGGAGGAGGGAAGAAGGAGCAGCAAGAGGGGGACGGAGTTGGAGGGGCAAGCCGACCTGCTTCTAGAAGACCCCAACATCTGGGGCCGATGCCAAATACCGTCCTCACGTTCTAGCCCAAGTCTATGGACACATTGGGTGCCATGTCGTTGATAGACACTTTCGGGGTGGATACCAGTATAGACGTCGCGGCCGTTGCGCTCGGCGCGGTGCAACGTCGGAGGAGGGGTAGATCCGTCTACGGCATATTTTCGTGCCAGAGCGGGTCCCAACATGGCACTCCAGGGACTGAGCAGGACGAGGAGGAGGATGAGGTGGAGGAGACCCTCCTCCTTAGGATGGAGGGCCAGGAGGAGGAAGGAGGAGGAGGAGGAGGAGGAGGAGACGTCTGACCCTCCTCCTTACCCAGATCCCCGACGTCTTGCCCAGCTCCCCGACGTCGACACCCAGAGGTCTGGGCCCCTTTTCCCGAGGACCGGTGCTTCATGCCGAGCCGTTCTCTGACGGTCCCGCGGCCCAGTAGGGATCCCCAGAGGCCGAACACAGCGGAAAGCCTCGCGCCGTGATTTTTGTCATATTTCGAGGGGGTCTGGGTAGGATGTAGGGCCAGGAGCAGGACGGGGAGGAGGACCTCCAGGGGGAGGAGGAGGAGGAGGAGGAGGAGGAGGAGGAGGAGGAGGAGGAGGAGGAGGAGGAGGTCATCGCACGCCACTGAGGGAAACAGAGAGAGAGAGAGAGAGGGGATGCGACAAGTCCAGACTGCCCCCGGGGGGTGGGCCATCGGAGAGGGGGCCAAACCCTGCCAGGGGACACCGACAGGGCCCCCCCATAGGAAAAAACTCGTCATCATCCTCTACTAGCAGGTCGTTGGCCTGCTGCTTGACACGAAGCTTGCTGCCGAGGTTCAGTGCCTCCCCTTCGTTCAAGCCGAAAGCCTGGAGGCAATCAGACAGGCACAAATTGTGCCGATTGAGAAACCGTGGAGCAGGTTCGCTCCTCCCCCTTCCAGGCTGGGCCCCAACACCGCTTTCCACGAACCTCCCCGCGAGCAGCTCCCGCACCCGGCCCTGGGTTGGGATGCCTCAACCGAGAAATGCTGAACTTGTTTTTGCGGCCGGCCCCGACAAGGGCCACCTGCGTCCCCAGGCAACGGCCTATCAAACCTCTTGAGGAGAAGGAGGAGGAGGAGGAAGAAAAGGAAGAATAAGAAGAGGAGGAGGAGAAGGAGGCGAATGAGGAGGGGGGGGAGAAGGGAGGGAGAAGGAGGAGGAAAAGGAGGATGGGGAGGAGGAGAAGCAGGGCAAAGGGCGAGGGCCGGGGCCGCTTCTCGTCGCCCGCGCCCGCGGGGGGCAGGTGCCGCCGCCCTGGCAGGCGCAGGCGCACCTACCCATCGCCGCCGGCGCGGGGGACGCGGCGGCGGGGGAGCACCGAGGGCGAGGACGACGACGACGACGGCGGCGACGACGAGGACGACGACGAGGACGACGACGACGACGGCGGCGACGACGACGACGGCGGCGACGATGACGGCGAGGACGACGACGACGAGAAGGAGGATGACGACGAGAGGGAGGACGACGACGAGGAGGACGATGAGGACGATGACGAGGACGACGAGGACGACGGCAGCTACGACGGCGACGACGACGAGGATGAGGACGACGACGACGACGAGGAGAACGACGACGACGAGGACGACAACGACGAAGACGAGGACGACGACGACGAGGACGAGGACGACGACGACGACGACGAGGACGACGACGACGGCGACGAAGACAAGGACAACGACGACGAGGGCGAGGACTACGACGAGGACGACGACGACGAAGAGGACGACGAGGACGACGACGACGACGACGGCACCGACCACGGCGTCGACGGCGACGACGACTACGAGAAGGATGACGACGACGACGAGAAGAGGGACGAGGAGACGAGGTCGAGGACGACGACGACGACGGCAGCGTCGAGGACGACGACGAGGACAAGATCGACGACGACGAGGTCGACGACGATGAGGACGACCACGAGGACGAGGACGACGACGAGGAGGACGGCGAGGACAAGGACGACGACCACGACCACGTCGACGACGACGACGACGGCGACGACGACGACGACGAGAAGGATGACGACAATGACGAGAAGGATGAAGAGGTGACGAGGACGAGGACGACGAGGACGACGGCAGCGTCGACGACGATGACGAGGACGAGAACGACGACGACGAGGACGACGACGTCGACGATGAGGGCAACGGCGAGGACGACGACGACGGGGACGAGGACGTCGACGACGACGAAGACGACGACGACGGTGACGATGGCGAGGACGACGACGACGAAGACGAAGACGACGACGATGTCGACGACGACGACGACGTCAAGGAGGACGACGACGACGAGGAGGACGAGGCTGACGACGAGAAGGAGGAAGCGAGGACGATGGCGGCGTCCACGACGACGACGAGGGCGAGCACCACGACGAGGACGAGGACGACGACGAGGACGACGAGGACGAGGACGACGACGACGATGACGATGACGGCGACGACGACGGCGACGACGGCGACGAGGACGACGAGACGGAGGACTACGGCGACAAGGAGGACGAGATGACGAGGACGAGGACGACGAGGACGACGGCAGCGTCGACGACGAGGACGAGGACGACGACGACGAGGACAAGGACGACGACGACGACGAGGACGACGACAAAGACGAGGACGACGATGGCGACGACGACGAGGACGATGACGAGGACGAGGCCGACGACGACGACGAGGACGAGGACGACCACGACGAAGGCGACGACGTCGACGAAGACGGCGACGGCGACGGCGACGACGGCGACGACGACGACGAGGAGGATCACGACAACGAGGAGGAAGAGGTGACGAGGACGAGGACGACGAGGACGACGGCAGCGCCGACGACGCCGACGAGGACGCGGACGTCGACGACGAGGACGAGGACGACGACGGCGAGGACGACGACGACAGCGTCGACGACGACGCCAAGGACGCGGACGTCGACGAGGACGAGGATGAGCACGACGACGACGGGCACGAGGACGAGGACGATGACGTCGACGGCGACCACGGAGACGCCGAGGACGACGACGGCGACGACGACAACGGCGACGACGAGAAGGAGGACGACGACAACGACGAGGACGAGGTGGCGAGGACGACGACGAGGAGGTGGCGGTGACGAGGTGGCAGTGACGAGGAGGACCTGGACGACGACGACGAGGACGACGGAGTCGGAGACGAGGACGACGACGACGAGGACGACGACGAGGACGACGACGACGACGACGTGGACGACGAGGACCAGAACGACGATGACGACGACGATGGCGTCGACGACGACGAGGATGCTGACCACGAGGACGAGGGATGTGGACGCCGACGAAGACGACGAGAACGAAGACGACGTCGACGAGGACGAGGATGACGGCCGCGAGAACGACGACGTTGACGAGTAGGACGAGGTAACGAGGACGAGGACGACGATGACGACGGCAGCGTCGACGACGTTGACGATCACGACGGCGTCGACGAGGCTGACGACGACGAAGACGAGGATGAGGACGACGACGACGCGGACGAGAACGACGACGACGATGAGGTGACGAGGACGACGACGACGACGACGACGACGGCTTCAACGGCAGGACGAATTCAGCGAGGACGATGACGACGAGGACGTTCGCGGCGACGGCGACGTCGTCGACGGTGGCGGCGACGACGGTGGCGGCGGCGACGACGTCGATGATCACGACGGCGTCGACGAGGCTGACGACGACGAAGACAGGGATGAGGACGACGACGACGCGGACAAGAACGACGACGACGACGACGATGAGGTGACGAGGACGACGACGACGACGGCTTCAACGGCAGGACGAATACGACGAGGACGATGACGACGAGGACGTTCGCGGCGACGGCGACGACGGCGATGGCGGCGGCGACGACGGTGGCGGCGGCGACGACGTCGATGACGACGCGGAAATGACGCCGACGACGGCGGCGGTGGTGACGACGGCGGCGGCGGCGGCGACGATGTCGACGACGACGCGGACGACGACGCCGCCGTCAACGGCGGCGGTGGCGACGACGGTGGCGGTGGCGACGACGGCGGTTGCGTCCACGACGACGACAACGTCGGCGGAGGTGGCGACGACGACAGCAGTGGCGAAGACGACGACGACGTCAACGACGGCGACGACGACGATGGCGAAGACGAGGACGACGACGACGACAACGACGGTGGCGATGAAGGCGGCGACGACGTTGAAGACACGACGACGACGAGGACGAGGACGACGACGACGGCGACGACGTGGGCGAGGATAAGGACGAGGACGGCGACAACGACGACGACGACGACGACGACGACGACGACGACGGCGACGACGGCGACGACGACGACGACGACGAGAAGGAGGACGATGACGAGGAGAACGAGGGGACGAGGACGAGGACCACGAGGACGATGGCAGCGTGTACGACGACGACGAGGAAGACGACGACGATGATGAGGATGAGGACGACGACGACCCCGACGACGACGACGACGAGGACGACGCCGACGACAAGAAGGAGGACGACGACGACTACGAGAAGGAGGACGATGACGACGACGACGACGACGACGACGACGACGACGACGTCGACGGCGGCGGCGGCGGCGACGGCGTCGAGGACGAGAAGGAGGCCGACCATGACGACGATGAGGAGAGGGTGACGAGGACGAGGACGACGAGGACGACGGCAGCGTCGACGACGACGACGAGGACGAGAACGACGAGGACGTAGGCGGCGACGACGACGACGACGACGACGGCTGCGGCGACGACGACGGTGCAGCTGGGACGACGGCGGCGCCGGTTACGACGCCGACGACGACACGGACACGACGACGCCGACGACGGCGACGGTGGCGACGATGGCGGCTGTGGCGACGACGGCGGCTGCGCCCACGACGACGACAAAGTCGGCGGTGGTGACGTCGACGCGGCGGCGGGGACGTGGACGACGGCAGCGACGACGACGAGGAGGACGACGACGAGGACGACGGTGGCGGCGGCGGCGACGCCGACGCCGACGCCTACACGACGCCGACGACGGCCGCGGCGGCGACGGCGGCGGCTGCGGCGGCGACGACGTCGACGACGACGCGGACGACGACGACGCCGTCGACGGCGGCGGTGGCGACGATGGCGGCTGTGGCGACGACGGTGGCTGCGCCCACGACGACAGCGTCAGCGGCGGTGGCGGGGACGACGGCGGCGTCGGCGGCGGCGACGACGGCGGTGGCGGCGGAGACGGGGACGACGACGACACCGACGAGGACAACGACAGCGTAGACGAGGACGACGACAACGGCAACGACGGCGACGACGATGAGGACGACCACGACGAGGTCGACGACGACGACGACGTCGAGGACGAGGACGACGACGACGACGACGAGGACGACAACGAGGACGACAACGAGGAGGACGAGGTGATGATGAGGACGAAGACGACGATGACGATGGCATCGCCGACGTCGACGACAAGGACGAGGACGAGGACGAGGACGAGAACGACGATGAGGACGAGGACGACGACGAGGACGACGAGGACCAGGACGAGGACAAGGACAACGAAGACGACGACCACGACTACGGCGAGGACGAGGACGACGACGGCGACGACGAGGACGAGTATGACGACGACGACGATGACGACGACGACAAGAAGGAGGACGACGACGACGACTGCGAGAAGGAGGACGAGGTGACGAGGACGAGACCGACGAGGACGACGGCAGCGGCGACGACAGCAGCGTCGACGACGATGACGACGAGGACGAGGACGACGACGACGACGGCAATGGCGACGACGTCGACGACGACGTGGGCGACGAAGACGCCGTCGGCGGCGGCGGTGGCGACGCCAGCGCCCTTGGCGACGATGGCGGCTGCGCCCACGACGACGACAACGTGGGTGGCGGTGGCGGCGACGGCGAAGACGACGACGACGTTCGTGGCGGCGACGACAATGACGACGACGATGCCGACGATGACGACGACGACGACGGCGACGACGAGGACGACGACGACGGCGGTGGCGATGGCGACGCCTATGATGGTTGCGGCGGGGACGACGGCCACGACGACGACACAGGTGACGGCGACGAGGACGACGAGGAGGACGAGGACGAGGACGACGAGGACGACGACGACGACCGCGACGACGACGACGACGACGGCGACGACGACGACGACGACGGCGACGACGACGACGAGAAGGAGGACGACGACGACGAGGAGGACGAGTTGACGAGGACGCCGACGACGAGGACGACGGCGAGGTCTTCGACGGCGATGACGACGAGGACGTTGGCGGCGACGACGACGACGACGACGACGGTGGCGGATACGACGGCGGCAGCGACGACGTCGAGGACAACGCGGACACGACGACGCCGACGACGGCGGCGGTGACGAAGACGGCGACGGCGGTGGCGACGACGTGACGACGTCGACGACGACGCGGTCGACCACGACGCCGACGACGGCGGCGGTGGCGACGACGGCGGCGGTGGCGACGACGGCGGCTCCGCCCACGACGACGTCAACGTCGGCGGCGGTGGCGATGACGACGGCGGCGGCGATGACGGCGGCTGTGGCGGCGACGACGAGGACGACGACGCCGACGACGACGACGAGGGCGCAGACAAGGACGACGACGACGGTGGTGACGACCACGCCTAGGATGGTTGTGGCGGGGACGACGACGACGACGAGGCCAGGGACGACGTCGACGGCGACGACAACGACGGCCAAAGACGACGAAGACAGAGAGAACGAAGACGAGGACGACGACGATTACGACGTCGACGAGGACAACGACACGCGGATGACGACGCCGACCACGAGGACGACGGCAGCGACGACGACAAGGAGGACGAGGACGACGAGGACCACGGTGGCGGCGGCGACGACGACGACAAAGACGACGACGACAACGACGACGACGGGGGGAGGCGGTCGCGACGACGGTGGCTGCTGCGGCGACGACGACGCCGACGACGACCAGGACGACGATGACGACGACGACGACCACGGCGGCGACGACGACGGCGACGATGGTGGCGGCGGTTGAGACGACGGCGACGACGAAGTCGACATTTGTGGCGACGGCGACCACGAATAAAACGGCGACACCGGTCACGACGACGATGGCGACGTCGACGGCGGCGGCGACGACGGCGACGACGACGACCACGACGACGACGAGGACGAGGATGACGACGAGGACGACGACGACGAGGACGGGTCGGTCCCCACCAAAGGAATATTGTAGCCAAGGTTTCTACGATAGGATTGCAAGGGAGGGGTACTTGTATTAACAAACAAGCAGCAGGCACACGTGTTGCCGGCTTTTTTCTCTTGAATGATGCCCAAACATGTTTTGTCATGTTTAACATGTTTTTTTCGTGCCCTTGGGCTCAAGGCGCCGCCACTGCAGATTCCTCATGTTCAAAATTCTTCTAGCAAGAACTTCACACGGAATCTCTGTGGAAAGGCTGCAACACAAGGATTTTCTATTGCAAGGTCCCCTTTAAGATTACTCTGGGTTTATTAATAAGCGTTGGGGGGGTACCCCCGACGGGGGTCGACCTCGCGTCGTCGTCGCTCCGCGACAGGGGTCGGAGCGCCTTCGGCGCGCGGTGGTTGTCCGCGACGAGGGTCGATGTGGGTCTGTCGGCGGGGGTGCCTCCCCCCGACGCTTATTTGAGAAATTCGAAGTACATATTCTTGCTACACAGTCACTACAAAAATTAATTATCAAGCAACGCCGCCACAGGTGATGGCGATGTGGATGGTGAGGATGATGAGGATGATCATGGTGGTTGTGATGATAATGGTGATGCTGGTGAAAGCGGTGCTTGGCGATTAGAGCTGATATCTCAGATCAACCTTGTTGCAATCGCAAGCGACGGGTCGCGCGGGGCGCGTTACTCTTGGCGCCTGGCCCCTGCCTGCCGAGAGCGACCAGCGCCCCGAATCCTCAGGGGTGGAGGTGGTCAGGGGTAGCTTGTGATTCGTGCCTGAGGGGCCTAAGCCGGACCGGAATTATCCTGGATAATTCGGGTGTCTCACTACTCCCGAAACATCGGGGCTGGGGATGGTCAGGGGTAATTCCTGGTTCGTGCGCTGGGGGCCCAAGCCGGGGTTACCCCAGACCGTTGGGAAGGTAGCGTGCGATGTGGCGCCCCCAGCCCACTGATTGCACGCTATCCCCCACCTTAGGGATAGCATGCACCGAAGAAGCCCTGGGAGGGGGATAGAGCGCACAGAAAGGGCTCTCGTGGGGGGATCTCCTCACAGGGATGGCGTGCTTCTAGGAGGTAGACGTGGCACGCGTATCTCCCCAACGCAAAACCGAATCTCGGTCGCCCAAAGCGAGGGCCAAAACGCTGCCGCGGCTGCGGCTGCGGAGGCAGTGCTGCGGCGGCAGAGCAGAGCAGCTGCGGCGGGGCGGCGGCGGCAGCGTGGCGGCGGCGGCAGCGGCAGCGGCGGTTGTGGCGGTAGGAGGAGGAGGAGGAGGAGGAAGAGGAGGAGGAGGAGGAGGAAGAGGAGGAGGAGGAAGATGAGGAGGATGAGGAGGAGGAGGAGGAGGAGGAGCAGGATGAGGATGAAGATGAGGAATGAGGAATGATGATGATGACGGGGATGAGGATGATGATAGTGATGCTGATAGTGATGATGATAGTGATGCTGATGCTGATGATGATGCTGATGATGATGATGATGATGATGGTGATGGTGGTGGTGGTGATGATGATTTTGGTGGTGATGATGATGATGATGATGATGATGATGATGCTGATTATGAAGATGATGAAGATGATGATGAAGTTGATGACGATGACGATGATGATGCTGATGATGCTGATGCTGCTGATGATTAAACTGATGATAAAGCTGATGAAACTGGTGATGGTGATGGTGGTGATGATGATGATTTTGGTGGTGATGATAATGATGATGACGATGATGATGATGGTGATGATGATAATGATGCTGATGATGCTGATGCTGCTGATGATGATGATTGTGATGATGTTGATGGTGATGATGATAATGATGGTGGTGGTGATGATGCTGATGCTGATGCTGATGATGATGATGATGATGATGATGATGATGATGATCATGATGATGATGATGATGATGATGATGATGATGATGATGATGATGATACTGATGATGATACTGATGATGATGGTGATGATGATGATGAGGAGGAGGAGGAGGAGGAGAAGGACGAGGAGGAGAAGGAGGAGGTTCACAGGAGGAGAAGGAGGAAGAGAAGGAGGAGGAGAAGGAGGAGTGGAGCTCCAGAGGAGGAGGAGGAGAAGGAGGAGTGGAGGCCCAGAGGCGGAGGAGGAGGACTGACTGACTGACTATGACTTGGATCCAACGTGTCGTCAACTGCCTCTGACACTACCTCTTGCAGTGTGGAATAAAAACTTGCAGCATCAATCTGGATCTGTCGGGGCAAGCCCCCTCGCTACGCACAAGTGAGGAGGAGGAGGATGAGGAGGAGGAGCGGCGGCAGCGGCGGCGGCGGCCCGGCTCCCGACGTGCCGCCAGCCCCCGTGCGGCGAGGCCGACTCCTCGGCTGTGCTCTTGCGAGGCGCGCGAGCCCCTGCGGGGCCGAGCCTCCTCGTCCTCGCCCTCCTCTTCCTCCTCCTCCTCCTCCTCCTCCTGCTCCTCCTCGTCCCCCATCCTCCTCCTCCGCCCTCCTCTCCCTCCTCCTCCTCCTGCTCCTCCTTGTCCCCCATCCTCCTCCTCCGCCCTCCTCTTCCTCCTGCTCCTCCGTCTCCTCCTCCTCCTCCTCCTCCTCCTCCTCTTCCTCCTCCTCCTCCTGCTCCTCCTCGTCTTCATCCCCAACCTGCTTCGACGCATGAATGTTCCGGGTGCTTCGCGTAGCCCCGCGGGCCGATCCAGAAGCGATGCCCAGACGAGTTGCCCTGAACAGGGATGTGGAGGATTCTGCAGTGGAATAAAGGGCTGTAAAAGACGTCATACCCCAAGAGGGGGAGGATGGAGGAGACATCGGAAGAGCAGGAGGAGGAGGAGGAGGGAAAGGGGGAGGAGGGAAAGGGGGAGGAGGGAAAGGGGGAGGAGGATGAGTGAGGCGGAAGGATGAGAAATAGGAGGATGAGGATTAGGAGAAGGAGGAGGGCGAGCCGAAAGGCCACCAGAGTCCTCATGATGCTTCTCGGAGTCTCTTCGGATGTCTTCCGAGAGCTTCTTTAAGTCCTTTTGGGGAGTCTTGGATGTTTTTTGGCAGTCCTGGGGGCCCGTGGGGCGTCTTGGGTGCCTCTGGGTGCCTCTTGGGGGTCTCTTGGGAGCCTCTTGGAGGCATCTTTGGGGCGTCTCGCGAGCTTCTTGGGGCCTCCTGAGCATCACTTGGGGCCGTCTTGGGGCACCCTTGGGGGCCTCGGGAGCCATAGTGGAGGTGATCGATCATATCAGAGTTGTTCTAAATTAGGGACTCCCCAGGAGGCCAACATGCAACCAACACCTTGATAAAATCAATGATGTTGACGCTCTCGCCGAGGCCTCTTGGGCCGTCTTGGGTGCCTCTGGCTGGAGCCTCTTGGAAACTCTTGGGGGCCTCTTGGAGGCATATTTGGAGTGTTTCGGGTGCCTCTTGGGTCATCCTTGGCACCTCTTAGGGCCGTCTTTGGGCACCCTTGAGGGCCTCGGGGCCATCTCGGGGCCACATTGGGGGAGATCGATCAAAGGAGGGGGGGGTCCTTGATTAGCCCCCCCCCCCTCCCCGGGAAGCCAAAATATGGCCCCCAGCTGCAGCGGTCATTCCTGCATGCTCCGTGCTCTTGCGCGCCCCGCCCGATGCTTGCTGGACGCAGAACCCCTCTCGGTCGTCGGCCCCCTTTTTTCCTGGCTCGTGCCGCGTCGCTCCCTTCTCTGGGCCCAGGTCTTCGGCCACGGGCCAATCCTAGGGGAACAACAAGTGGCATAAACATAAAAACTCGGAGGTCCGCGCGGATTTCTCGGATCGGGCGGCGCCAGAGGCGCCGCCGGAGGGCCCCAGCGCCGATCTGGGAAATCCTCGCGGGCCTCCGAGTTTTTATGTTTATGCCACTTTTTTGTTCCCCTAAATCCGTCGTCCGCGCCCCTCTCTCTCTCTCTCTCTCGTCTCCCTCCAGTGTCGCCCCCCCCCCCGACGCGCCACTGGCCCGCGCCGTGGCCCAAAGGTCCGAGGGCGGAGCCGGCCGATGCCGACGAGGGCGCTCTTCTGCATCATCCCCCCCCCCAGAAAAAGTACGGCGCGATCGTCGCACGGCGACCTCCGCCCTCGCAGCTCGAGCCTCCTCTCCCCGCCCCCTCCTGTGGAATCTTACAGCTCCCTCACGTCCTGTCTGCGCGGTGCTCGTTGTACTGTCTGTGCTGCCTGCGTGCGTTCGCGCTTTTGACTGATGTGCGTTTTGGCTCAAGGCATATCTGTCTGTGCTGAGTGAAACGCATTCTAGTCTGATTATCTTGCGATGGCCGCCTGAACCCGTCGTGCCCCCCCCCCCACACACACACACACACACCAGGCCGAGTACGGTGGGGGCCCATGTCAGGAGACGCCCTGCTCGCCTCCAGGGTGCCCTGGGTTTCTTGCGCTTCGATTGCTTTGCCACGGAAAGCGCGACGCTCCCACACCAAAAAGCAACGAACGTTTTGGAGTCTCAGGGTTGGGCCTCCCGCTTCACACACACCGAGGAGCCCCCAAGCTCCCGGGAGACCACCCGCGGGACGCGCGGCACCGCCGCCCGGGCCTGCGCGCGCAGAGGAAGGCGAGAGTAGAGGATAGGGTGTCCGCGAAATCCGCGCTTCCCGAAAGCAGAGCCTCCTAAGATCGGGCTGGAAGGAAGGGGGGGATTGGGACAGGGGGGGGTACGAAATCTGCTGCCTGCAGCTGAGATCGGCCCTCTGAGGGGCCCACTCTTCGATAAGGAGACGCCTCCGGCGCCGGGAGGCGCCAGGAAACTCAGCTGCGCAAGCTCATTTGGACGCCCGAAATGGGTACGGAAAGAATGGGTACAATGCCCAACAGCAGTTCCTCACTAAACCGCGTTTTGCTAAAGGGGGTTCTGTCCATCCCCGAATTCTTGGACTGACAGATCCCAATCTGCTTCAAACGCTTTCCTGCTTCAAGAGGCGATACGCTTCAGCTGCGTGCTGATCTTCTCTGGGAGCCAAACCTACGTTTCCTGCCTGCCCTACTTCATGCTTGTACCTACTTTTTCCGACCAGTGTGCGTTCAGCGTCCCTTCTGTCAGCACGATTCTTGTAGCACGCACGTCGTGTGGGTCCTCCTCACCCCGCCTTGTGTCTACTGGCTTCGTTCGGTGGCAGTTCACGGGAGCCTTTTCTCTGCTCGCAAGCCCGGCCGTCGATTGCACCAGCGTGCGCCGGCGTCTGACACACGGTGGGAGAGCCCCGAAGTAGCGCCGATTCGCATCCATAAGCGTTCATGTAGCGTAGGCCATCGTCGGTTCGCAGGAGCGAGCAAAACGGGATGGGAGGCTCCCGTGGGTTACCACGTAAGCTGCGGTAGACGCGCACGCTGGCGCCAGCACGCCTTTTCCTGAGGACCACCACCGGCCACGGCTCGGCCGCCGGTGGGCCGCCGCGCCCCAGGCCTCCCGCCCGACGCCACCGAGCAGGACCGCGGCCCGCGCCGCCGCCGCCAGCATCGGTGACGGCGACCGTGCCTGCGCTGACGGCAATGACGGCGGTCGCGGCGGGGCGGCAGCCGAGCTGAGCCGACGACGCCGGCGACGGTGGCAGTGGCAGCCTTTGGCGGCGCCGACAGCGACGGCGGTGGCGCCGACGACGCCGATGACGACGCCGACGCCAACGCCGACAACGACGACGACGCCGACGCCGACGCCGACGCCGACGCCGACGACGACGACGACGACGACGGCGCCACGACGGCGCCACGACGGCGCCTAGCTGGGCCTCGCGCAGGCCACCAGAGACCTCGAGCCACGGGCTTCCCAGGACGCGAGCCTCGGGGGCTCGGCGCCCACGGCGGTGATTTTTTTGAGAGGCGGCCCGCGGTGGTCCTTGGGCCAGGGACTTCCCAGGGCGCAAGCCTCGGGGCCCGAGGCCCACGGCAGTGACTTCTTTGAGTCGGCAGTGGCGACGGCGCCTGCGACGTCGGCGTCGTCGGCGTCGTTGTTTCGGCAATGGCTCCGTCGGCGCCATCGCTCGGGTGCACGTCTCGGACGGGGCTGCCGTGGAGACCCATGCCAAGAAACACCCTGCCTGCCTCCAGGGCGCCCTGGGTTTCGACGGTTCTGGGAGGAGAAGCGCAGCGTTCCCACACCAAAAATCCATGGACGTCCTGGGGTCTCAAGGTTGGGTTTCTTGTGGAAGGCTTCTTGTGGTCGGGCTCTCCTGCTGCAGCACTGGGATAAGTCCGCTCCAGAGCGTTCCAGAGCGCTCTGAGAGGCCGCGGCGCCCAAGACAGCCCCCAGAGTCGCCCGGTCTCGGAGCTTCTCGATCTCATCCTCACCCGATGTGATTTTCGCTCTAGCGTCGTCTTACTCACGAGTTGCCACAGAATCGTCGAGAATCGAGAGTCGAGAATCGAGGATCGAGCAATCGATGATTTTACCCGATTTCAGCCTCACCCGATGTTCTCCTCGCCCTGGCGTCGTTCTTCGCGCCAGAGTCTGCGCAGCCTTCGTGGAGCGCCGCGGGCGGCCCCAGTGCGCGCCGCCGCTGTCGTCGTCGCCGCGGGGCGCCGCCTCCCAGAAGCCGTCGCCGTCGTCGCCTGGAGGGTTTCTCCCAATTGTTTAGGCGGCCCGTCCTCCTCCTCCTCCTCCTCCTCCTCCTCCTCCTCCTCCTCCTCCTTCTCTGCCCCCTCCTCCTCCTACTCCTCCTCCTCCTCCTCTCCCTCCTCCTCCTCCTCCTCCTCCTCCTCCTCCTCCTCCTCCTCCTCCTCCTCTCCTCCTCCTCCTCCTCCTCCTCCTCCTCCTCCTCCTCCTCCTCCTCCTCCTCCTCCTCCTCCTCCTCCTCCACCTCTCCTCCTCCTCCTCCTCCTCCTCCTCCTCCTCCTCCTCCTCCTCCTCCTCCTCCTCCTCCTCCTCCTCCTCCTCCTCCTCCTCGAAGCAGTCCGAGGCGGAGACGGCGAAGCCGAAGGCGCCAGCTGCGGCGGCCCCCACGGCCGTGTCGGCTGGGCTGCGGGCAGCGATTGCCGCGGAGCTCGCCAGCCACGCGGCAGAGGCGCCTGAGCTGGTGGTCAAGCTTGGCGGGGCGCTGGGCGAGATTCTGGACAGCCACGCCAGCCAAGCGGCACCTGAGGCGGCTGCTGCT